AAAAAAAAAAAAAGAGGATGAGGCAGGAAAAGGTTTGTTTTGTCAAATTTCTCTCTTCTTTCTTTTTTTTTTCTTCGTGGACTACTTTAAAAGGTTGTCTGTTGTTGTTTTTAATATTTCGGAAACAATTTTTAAGGTTCAGTTTTTTTTTTTTTTTTGCCTAGCATTAGTCAATTTAAATGATGTTTGCCTAGAAGGCCACCCAACTGGTTCAATTGTAACTTACATTTGATGCTATCGCAAAACTTTTATCTCTGAAAGATTTTATTCATCAATCAACGAGTCGTTGTTACTGCTAATAGACTACGGGAACAAAAGAAAATGTTTCCAGAACAAAAGTAGTAAAAATTTGGAAAAATATTCCTGGAATGAAAATGTGATAGATTGATTGAATGGGAAACTCGCGAAGTTACTTGGAAAAGGAAAAAAAAGCTACTGTTGATTGTTTAGCTTCGAAACTCCATGGAATTGGATTTCAAATACGACTCTTGAACCGTAAGTGATCTTCTTTGTTTTTGATTTATCTTATTCTTTATGCCATCTACTCTGTACCTTTGTAGAAATAATTAAGCTCCTGTTCTGGTAATGGATGGTCGGACTTTAGCGGCTCCAAATTAGATGAATCGTTGAATTATTTTGACTGTCAGTAAAAATACGGGAGAAACGCAACAATGCAACGTTACCACGGGAAAAGATGAAGAAAAATGAAATTATTTGGCAGCATCTCAATGCCTTTCCATTTGGAGCATTTATAAACGCAACGCGTTCCTTGGTAGATGTGGCTTGCTCTGCTCATTAGGTGCGGCTTTCATCTGGTAAAATCTGAACTCATATTCACTTGGTAATCTAACCTGATAAGAGAAAAAAATTTTAAGTTTTTTAAGATTAATGGTAAGCATCAGCAAGGGTAAAACTAGCACTCATCCAGGCAGAATGCTACCCGATCGTGACCATAGCGTAAAGCGCTGCATTTTACTTATCTTGTTTGCAATAAATTTTTTTCAACATTTAATTACCTGCTATTTTTGCTACATATTGCTCAGTAGCAGCAGATACCAAGAAGCGTGCCTCTTTTACGAATAGCTGACCACCAAATTACTTGTTAAGTGCGAAGTCAACGGCTTCAGAAGTAATTATTTTTAATTTGTCATACAGAGACGTATAAAAGTCATCAGAACATTTTGGTTCTTCTTCTTACTATCAGTACCTTCATTGATATCATTGTATACTTCCTACTGTTTCTTTTCTACTCGTG